AATAGTAATTGTTCACTTAACTACAACATAATTTCACCGTATTATTATTAGAATTTAATAATACAAATTGATTATTGAATAAATTGAGTACAATCATTTTAATTACAAAATACAGTCATTTACAATATAAGTTTAAATAAAAAGGATATTAAAATTGCATTTTCTGTCTTATGATTAATAATTAATATAAATCTACTTAATTTAAGATGACATATATCAGTTCAATTTTTAATTACATTTTAGTAATGAATGTTGGCATTTCACTATTAATACAAAAAGTATTGATGATTTAAATAAAGCTTTGCAATGAGACTCTCTTCAACTTTGATTTTACATACTCATAATACCGTAAATCATCACACCATATACAATGTATATATCTAACACATACATACGAACTATATATATATAACATAAATTTGCTTACATGTTAACATATATCAATTTGATGCATATATAAAAACAATATTGATGTAATCATATATTTACATATTCCATATATATATATATATATATAGATAGATATATTTCTTAAATACTTAATGCATTGCCTTTGACTTATTTTGAAGCCATTTCGTCATTTCTCATTTAAATAAGGGAATTATTTTATTCAATGCTTTTATTTAAAACAAAATGAAAATATTAATTAAACTGCAATTTTAATACAAAACATTGTATTCTTTGCAATTAAAGCGTATGTACTTCAAGTTAATTAAAAGAATTCGACATTTTTTATATGTTTTCATAAAGAATTGGTTTTATTTTAATTTTTTGCATTGAAATAAAATTAAATTTTTATGGTAAAGATTAAATTAATTTTATGAAAACATTGCATGTTGACTCAATTAAATTGGTGTTTCATTTATAACTAACCGAATACGCACACATGATTATGGTTAACTGTTAGCATAATAATATATAATAATCGTATGTACATCAGGAAAAGATTAAATAACCATACATTTTTTTTAAATGACTTATATAGAGTAATTAAAGTAATTAAGTCATTAATTAAGCAATTAAAAAATTACATACCATTTATATGTTACATAAATCACTCTACTACAATGAATTTCTTTTAATAACAAAGTAAACCCCTTCACTGCATTGGCGCAGACACTTAATGCTAAAGTTATTTTAAACAGACTAATAAGTAAACAAATCCAAAGTGTAACTAACAATAGCAAAACGACAAAAAATAATTAGAAAAGGTAAAGAACAAGATACTCTTTATATATTGCGTATATATATTGTGTATATAAATATGTATAAAAATATATATGCACATAATAAAATAAAATAATAAGTTGACGAAAATATATATATAAATGATTATATTTAATAATATTTGATGAAGACATCTACAATAAATTTTCTTGACATTAAATAGAAGTGCAGTTATGTCAGCTTTTTTTTAAATTTTTTTGTTAATATTTTTTTGGAAAGATCTTAATAGGATTTAAATCCATATTTTGCGTACCGTAGTCCCAACACAGATAGTCCGTGCTATCAAGACCGTACTGTTCTCTCAAGTTACAACAAGTTAATTATTATTATTGCAAATCATTTATATCAACGAAACTAAACTCAAGACTGAAAATATGTACATCTCTTTTACAAGAATGCTTAAACTGAACTATATGAGAATTATATGTTAACCCACAACAACATTATTGTCATTGTCACAATAAACATTGATCATTTTTTGATTTACAATAACTTTTAAAACTTTTTAATGAAATACTATAGTAATAAAAATAAAAGATATAATTTGATTTGCAATTATGGTCTGTCATAATTAATAGTATTTATATACAAAATACGTTTTTATATACAAGATGAATTTTTTTATGATAATCCTTAATATGTTTAATAAAATTTTATCATATCGCCAATATCAGCTTTAAGTTTATCTAAATATTCAATACAATATAAAAGTTACACATTTTCATTTTCAATATAAAAAAAAAAACAAAGAAAATCTCATTTTTGGCATTCCCACAGGGTTGTGTTGCCATACTCAGTCTCACATGGATAATAAGCCTGACAGTTTTTGGATTTCTCGTATTGCCGAAAGGTAAATGTTACTTAATGACTTTTACATTATTCCACAGCCATTAAAAGTATACGTTTTACACTCTTCTTATATTTTACTATTTTTGCTATTCGAAACATTTTTGCAAATATGCAACAACGTGTGTGCTTGCCAAAATTAGGTTACTACTTCAACGGCTCCGGTCTAATGGCCTGCGAACCATTTTACAGCAAACCATCATATCGTATATTGGCGACATGCGCCCTCTACTTTCCCACCACAATGGTACTGATGTACTGTTACGGCTCCAGCTTTCATATGAGTCGTTTCAGGCTTAACGACCCAACAATGCCGCTTACTGCCGCTGCACATCATCCGCATCATCATCATCATGCATTAGCAGCTTCTTCGACGTTACCTAGCACACCAGTCATGAATTTGATGAGCATGGGCTTGGGTATGGCTGGTATGGGAGGCCCCAAAAATACAATCACAAAAAAGGTAGGTATAATTAATTGAGTTTTTCATTACTGACGCGTACTTAACATAAATCTCTTTGCTCCTCGTTTCTTACGATAAATTTTTTATTTTGCTTCATTTTGCTCTTAATTCATTTTATTCTTTTTTTGTTTTTCGTTTTCTTTTTGCATTTTATTTATTTATTTTTTTTTTTTGCACTTTAATAATATTACTAATTTGATACTACTTATATATGACTTCAAATATTACCTGCCAGCACGTTTACAAGAAACACGTTTTACGTATGCTTGCACTACATTGCAGATTGTACCAATACAGGAGAAGAATTCGAGTGGCTCAACGTCACGTTCAATGGCAGCAATTTCATTGGGTTTCATTGTTATGGTCACACCATGGACAATACAGGAGATTGTTACCGCATGCACAGGCTCGAAGGCAAGTTGCGCATACATAATCAATTCCTTCGTTTGCTCCCATTTGTATTTGAGCGCTACACCAAAGTAGATAAATTATCTATTTTCCCCCACCTTAAAATAAATTTTTCCCATTCTGTGAATTTTTTTGAATTTCCTAAATTTTTATTACCAACAAAATTCGTTTATCGTTCACTTTTAATTTTACTTGCAGCTTCCACCTTTTTTGGATTTTTTAGTTACATGGACTGCATTGAGCAACAGTCTCTGGAATCCATTTATGTATTGGTTGCTAAATTCGGACTTCCGTCGCCTTAGTCGACACCTGATGCCAAATAAGGTAAAATTAAATCTTGTGTTTAATATTAAGCAATTTATTGAAAATGTATTCAAAATCCTCCCGATAACAGACCATTATTGGTTACATAGAGTTGAAAAAATAATTTAAATAAAACTATAAAAGGTAGAAGTAATGTAGTGGTTCCATTAAATGTTTTTACTTTATGTGAAAATCAAGTTTTTTTTATTCATACATATTTATTAAAACTTGTTTAAAAATAACCTTAACTTCACATATGCGTACTGTACCTTACTGGAATACCCGAACCGTGTATTTATCTTTAGCTCTATCTTTATTGGCCAGACTTTCACAAGATTTGTATTTTTAAATACAAACACATATTTTCGAATGATTTTTGCAATTAAAAACTCATATGTGTTGGCAAAAATCCTGCCAAAGTCAAGCCCGTATAAACACCGATTAAGTATTTTCCATTAGAAGTAGCGCAACTCCTAGTATATATACTTTAATAAAATATATTCACTTTATATATGCACATCGTTAAGTATTTTTCATTCATATTAAGTTAGCATTATTATTATAACGTGTTCTATAAATTACAATCACAATTTAAGAACTTAGTCTATTCACATATGTTATCCAGACGCCCCTTGCGTAGGGTTGTCATCAAATTTCCATTCCTATCCGAAGTTACTCTTGTGAATACTCGAATCATTTGGAAGTCCAATACACTAGCTAATTAGACCAAAGCACTCTATTTCGGTGATAAGTTTGCTTCCTTTCATAAAGGTTGTTAGATCCCTGGCTTCCGAGCCTACCCCAGTCTTCATGTGGCAACTGATATTTCTACCAAAAACCAGACGTTGTGGAACAGTTATACCGCTGAACACTCGGTCGTAATGCCTCATATGTTTAAAACAGGGATCACCACGAGAAGGTTAAGAGTGACATTTGTGCTGAGAGGCTTTTTGAAATGCATACATACACTTTCATCCCCAGTTAGCAGTATTGGAAGTTTGAAATATTAATCGCGTCTTATCTCGTAGTGCACGTACATTACCTTAATGGAATATCTTTATTTTATGTTTTTCTGATATAAATCATCTTTAATTCCTAATATGTGTACTGTATTTGAATAATATATCTTTACCTTATATTTCAGTATTTATGTACATTCCCTTTGTAACAAGATACTTAAAGTTAGGGATTCATCATCTTTAACTCCGAGTATGCATACTGTGACTTAATAAGATCTTCACTATATATAAGTGAAGTTTCTATAAGGTGTGTGAAGGGTTTAGTATTCATGGTATTTTTATGTTGAAGTATATTTATCCGTATCTACTTATTATAGGTTGTAAAAATGAGTTTCCATCTTAAGCTCCCAGTATACGTACTATAACTTAATAACTACATTCTATATTTTTATTCTAAATTCTTTTACATTTATATTTCTAGGAATGAATGAAGGATTTTTCATATTTAGCTTACAGTATACGTACTGTACCTTGATAACTACACAGATTGTTTTTATTCTAAATTATGTTACATTTAAATTTCCAAGAATGGATGAAGGATTTTCGATATTTAGCTCGCAATATACGTACTGTACCTTAATAACTACACAGCTTGTTTTTATTCTAAATTATTTTTGATTCATATCAAATTATTACATATTTCATAAGAAACTTATTTTTAATTTCAACCATACATACTGTAACTTAATAAGATATATTTCGTATCTTTAACTATTTTATCTTGGCATTAGAATAGTAATTGTTATGGAATCAATTTATTTTTGGCTTTGAGATGTTCAAAATCTATTCATCTGACTCCAACCATAATGTACACTCATTTTAAATCGAAATGAAATAAAGCTACAGAAAAAATATATTAACTAAAAAATATCTACAATGACGATACTCGTACGATACCATTAAATACTATTAAAATAAAATTTATTTCCATTTAGCTTATATGCGATTGATTATTGTTAACAATTAAGCACAACTGCCGAGTCGGCAAACCAATTAACCGATATAAATGGATTAGTTTAATTAACATAATTGTTCACTTAATTACAATCAAATTAAGTTATAATTAAATCACTGAAAACATCTAACAACGCAGCATAAAAACGATTTAAACTTTTAATGATTTTAAATTGAAATTAATTAAAGTTTTTTTGCGAAAAACGGAAACGGATACTGCTTTTTAGCTTTCGTATGGCAAAAATTTTATTAATAAAAAATTAATTAATTTAGTTTGCCGTAATTTATTTATTTGTTTTTTAATTACTTTAAATTTACTTTAAATTTAAACATTAAAAAAGTTTTTATTTCCACACAAATTAGTACAAATTTTTCCATTTCAATGTTGAACATATTTGACGCTGTAAACATTGTCCTAGCTACTCCCATATTGACTTTGACCCAGACAATTGTATAATTCATAGAAATTCATGAACTCTTGAATAAAAACAAAAACACATATAAAATACCAATGTCTTTTGTATTATTGCTTGTTTAAATTTTCATATATTTTCAGTGTTTTCCCACCGAGGACACACCCGAACATAAATCAGCTTGTTGTCACAACAATTCCGATTTTGAAATAACCACTTTGCCAATGCCACCAGAGCCGCCCACATCTCGGCCACCGGGCAGCAGTAGCGGTATTGGCGGTGGCTCAGTACTCGGCATTTGTGCACGTGCCCGTACCAATAGTCTTAGTCGTAGCGCCTCACAGTATATACGCGGTCATCATCATGGTCATAGTCATCACGGCGGCTTTGCGACCATGCGGCCAGATATTGAAGGCTTATCCGAAAAGTATTGGGGCGAAATACTTGAGCGTACTGTAAGCTCAGGCAGTTTGCATGCCATGCAAAAGAGTTTTCCACTTAGTCAACATCATCACCATCACCACAATACACCAGCGACCATGACAACCTCATTTAGCAAACATAGTGATCTAAATTTAACCATATCCGAGCATGAACGCGAACAAGACGGCGCCTCAAATACTGCCCTCGAATGCGAATTAAGTAAATTTTCGAATTCTGAGCCAAAATTGTGCGAACACATCTATCACGATGCAAATTGTGCAAAAAATAAATCTGCACCGAACGGCGCTTCAGCAACTAATGCAACTTCGAACATAGATGATACAAAACATTCAAGCAGTTTTACCAACGGACGCAATATACCGGATATTTAGTACGCAGAGGATGTCATATTGGCTAAGAGTCATACTAGACACATTTGCGGACACATCGCTAATAGCCATATTCCAGGAAAATGCGCTAAAACCACAACTCGTGCCGCCTGTCACAATCCGCCGTCAAATGTTGTAAGTGTGATAATACCGCTGGCCGAGTACCGGAAGTAGAGTGTAAATATTATAGAGCAAATAATGAAAAAATTATTTTATAAATAAATAAGTTGCGTGTTTGATGTGTAGTTGAAGCAAGTACATATAACAGAAATACATAATTCAGATAATTCAGAAATTATTGACAAAGTTTAGAGTGAAAGTACGTAAATGTTTATATCTAATATCTAATATGTGTGATAATTTCAGTTAGTTTTTTATTTATAAAATAAATTCTCATACCGACATAATCGTATTCGTACTCATACTCATACTCATATATAAAGATTCACTCCGCACTTCAGTATAGTTTTTTCAATAAGATTTGAAGCGAATCCTATATTTTGTGATTGTCATGAATTTATGTAAAATTTTTAACAATTGTAATGAAATGATTAAATTTAATTAATATAAATAAATTACATGTAAATTTGAAAATAAGGTTGGTTATAAGTAATTAATGTAATTTCGTAGTCTAGATCAAGAATATTTAAATTATTTGTGTGAAGTAATATTAATAATGTGGCAATAATTGCAATTTATCGCATTTAAAATTAATAATAAAAATAAAAACTTTTGTGAGAATAAATATAAAAAATTAAAGTATAAAGTATTTTAAAATTTATTATTATTCTTATAATATGCATTAATTCAAGAAGTGTGTAAGTATGTTTTATGAAAAAAAAAATTTATAATTTTTGGCTTCAAAATGTTATAAGAAACTTTTTACCTAAAATCTTTGGTTTATATCCGAAGACTAATGGATAAATAAAAGACCTAAAGAATTATAAAAATTACAAGCAAACATTCTATAATCTGTAAACTAGAAAACTTGCTACTACGACTTGAATCTCATATAAAAAATAACATCGATAAGTCATAATCTGTATTTCTCTCAAAAGCCACTTAGTCCCAATTAAACCAAGTGAAGAATTTACTACATTCTTTACTACATGAATTTTATGGTTATAAAGGTAACTAAAACACACTTGTGATTTAGAATACCATCAAATTTTTGCTTCAGTGTATTGTTTAGACCCGCGCTTCCCAACGTTTTTGTCACCGAGGAGCACTATGACAATTTTACCATAAAGTTCCAGAATAATAAATTGTATGATTATTTTAATATGCTTTATGCGTCTCTAGTATAATATATGTATAATGAATTGTATAAGTGCATAGGTACATTATAGAGACTATAAAATAGGTATATTATTGCTTGGAAATTTTTATTGCTTATTTTCTAATAAGTGAGGTGTCAGTGGTCAAACTACCATCTCGTGGACCACCTGCGCTTGACGTGTTGGTATATTGCAAGTAATAGCTCGTAAATACCTTCAACGAATATTAGTTAAGTTGTTCCAAAACGTTAGAGGTTTGAGAGTTGTCTGCCTTGATACCATATTTTAAGTAACCCCAAAAAAGTCCTTTGACAAATCACATGATTTTGGTAGTAATTCACATTACCAAAATGTGAAATTATAAGTCTGTTAATTGTGCAACAGAGCCTAGAAAGAACTATTTGATATTGTTTATGACTATCTCCTATTGAATCTTACACATCTACTTCTGCAATTTCACAGGAAAAAATAATATAATGATAATCATATGGCTGTATCGAAAAGAAATAATGGTTTGTATCTCAGCTTAATCATTTTCAAAGAAGAACGGATATATTACACGCCCAGACCAAATAATTAAAAGCCACAGCCTATAGTAACTTTTTGGAAACACAATAAACAGTACGAAACGAAAATTAAGATTCATCACTGAAAAAAATTCAATACAAAATCTCATAACACAATCGCTGTTATTGGAGTATCCAATCGTAATATATTTTACGTATTATATTGCCAGACGGGTTCAGTTCTTATATTAGCTGAATTTTGTACTGGTGGTTATGCAAATCTATAAGCAAAATACGTCCCGTGTAATGTATGAATTGAGATCTTCTTCGAAACTTTCACCAAAACACATTAATAAGCGGCAGAGCGTAGATTATGTGAAGGGGAGGGGGGAGAAGTGAAGTATATATTTAAAACATCTTTATTGTCGAAGTTTCTTTGCAGTATTAAATTATATTAAATTAAAATATAATAAAAATAAATCTTATGCATCATATATACACATTAATGTAACATATAATATATGTATATCGATATGTAAATATAAAAAAAATTATAATTACTGAAATTTTTTTTTAAGATCTCAATTAAAGTATACTCTTTGATAAAAACTAAAATAATTGTCTCTCTAGTGACTTTAGTGTTTTTAACTCCTCATTATCAAAATACTAGTTACTAATAATATTTAAATATTAAAACAAAAATATTATAAGAATAATATAGTTAGAGTTCTCTTTAAACTATTTGGTGATAAGGAGTTTATTGATTGGTGGCACTGACATATTAGCGAATATCCTTCTACTTCCCATAATTAGCTATTTTTCGCCTTTCTGGTTAGAAACCAAATCCATCTCAATGAATTTATGTCATTTAATAAGTCTTTTATCCTTACCAATAAACAGTCCGACAAACTGAAAAAAATACTTCCCTATAAACATGTTTCTTGTGAAAGCTAAAAATCGGTAATCACAGAAAAATTGCTATGCAAATACGAATAATCTATTTTCATATTCCAGCCTTCTCCCTATATCATCTTTCTCGCTAAAGAAGATAATAATGTAGAACATGGTGATGATGTCTAGACCTTGACACAACTCTTACAGAACCATTTTTTTCCATTTTTTCACTGTTTTGTGTATAGCGTTTTCAATTTTACTTAAAGTTGAAATAAGGTAAATGCCTTACTACCTTACTATATGTACTTTTTTACCTTACTATATAATCAACACATTTTCCTAATAAGTTTTCATAATTTTAGCACATTCACTGAATCTTTGCGATCTATCTTTATCTTTTATCTATCTTTTAAAATGACAAATTTTGAACTTAAAATAAATGCTTTAGCTTATGTTTCTGTTTAATATGTATTACTTACTAAAGCTTACTTAGTTTCTTATTTGAACATAACAACCTGTAACATAACAATATTACTAAAACATTGCGATTCCAAGAACGGCCGAATATACGTCTCAGAGCTACTCGTCAACCATGACGACCGAATACTGATCAGATTCTTCAAAGGGATTTTACAAGCAGAACTCATCGGATTAGAATAACAACAACTAAAACATTGCTGCCAAATCAAGACCACGAAATGGACAACCCTTTATTTAAGTACAAGTACTATAATAAATTCTTCATTACCTTAATGTAAACATTATAAGAACTATATGTAATAATTAAAATATTAGTAGATATATGTAAATAAAGAAATTATCACCACTTTATTAATATACGTAAAAATTTAAAAAATTCTTAATTATATATTATCAATAATGTGCATTTATCTGATCTCCTTGAACTTCATACATAACTAATTGAGCATTACCTGTACCTTTGAAATTAAATAATTATTTTACTAGAAACTCAATTTTTTTTATTGTCCCCATTGCTAATAGACATAAACCCTCAATTCTATGAATGTCAATTTGTTTTTTCCCTATTCACCATGACAAGACACGGTCAAAAAGTTCATTATAGAATAGCAATTTCATTATAATAATTTGTTTAGAAAGAAAGATTTAAAAGAAAAATATTGGAACAATTTAGCTGACATCAAGCAGAACCAATTACATTTACATGTAATTAGCTTAATGCCAATTTACTCTCACTCTCGGTTTATTGTTTGATAAAATTACAAAACATAATCTTGGTAAATCTTTTAGACCAAAAGCAATGGCCATGTATTTACACGCACACGAATCTCATCCCGGCTCAACAATTGCGTTGCTGGAATGCTGGAAACCACATCTAAGTGCCACAAAGTGAATTTACTGTTGATGCGAATGTAAGGAAATGTTTCTTAAGAAGTTTTCACAACTGAAAAACTTGTACTGCCCATCACTCCTGATCATTGTTGAAAACGCACAAAGGCATGAAATTAAATGGAACACGCAAGCTTATTCCAAATCTTCTGAAGGAGCTAATTTTGAATTGTTTTGATTTGAATTTCTCTTTCAACTTTTTTCCTTTACTCATAAATTTTTACAACTATTTAATGGAAAAAAAAATTCAGTTTTACTACTTTAATTTGCATTGAAGGCAAAGATTAAATTAAAATAGAAATTTTTATAAAAAAAGGAACAGTTTCGAAGAACTTTGAAATATATAAAGTTATTTTCTATCATAAAGTTTTATAATTTAAATACCAAAAATAAAGTTCTTTCCGATTTACTTAACGAAATTTTACGTAAAATAATTTTGTTCATCTTAAAATGCATTCCCAAAGTAAACAAATAAACCAAACTTCAAATTTCAAACAAAAATATTAAAACAAATAATAAACCAATTCCAATTTTACAGTTAAAATTCCCACGAAAGATAATCTAATGGATATTAGTAAAGATAAATATTAGTCTTAAGTTAAATAATCATATTCGTGTACTCTTACTGTAGTTCTAACGAGGCACTGTGCTATTGCGCCTATGTGGATTATGCAGGAGTTGTCAAAATGAAGAGGAGGTAGAATCTATTAACCACTTGCTGTGTCTCTGTCCAGGACTGCAGACAAGGCGACTTCAATGTTTTGAGGATCGGTTTTTCACTGGCTTGGATGAGATAACGAAAGCAAACTTATCGGATTTCCTCAACTTCATCTGGAAAACCAAATAGTTTAACAAGGCTAACAAAGGTTAGCAAACCGCCTCTCCCGGCGAAGTTTTTAAGGGCATCACAATGGGTAATATATGCATCCGAGTGGAAGTGCTGACAACTGTCAGCACGTGCTTTCCAACATAACCTAACCTAAATAACTATATAGATACTTGTTAAAAGAAAATCAACAACCTTAGAGGGATATAATATAAGAATAAACATTTAATAAATCGGCTATTGCAGATAATAGCATAATATTAACACTGCACATGAGAAATAATTACTTTCATATAACAAAAATTATATGAATAATAACGATATATAAACATAATAAAGAAATAATTTAGTGTTAGTCATTATTATAGAGTTAGTCTAGAGTTAAAACTGAGCTTGGCCTATCTTTCGTTCTCTTGACATTGTGCATTTTTACCCACATTGAGCAGTCGACTCAATATTAACTGAATTACGAATGCTTCAAGCTGCACTTAAGGATACAACACTTACTGCAAGTCAAACACTAATAGTAAACACTAATATAATTGCACTAATTCCATTAATTATGAATGATCTGCTTCGATTACCGAGAGTACTAATCGAAAAGAATGCTTTGTCGAATATCTCGTCAT